ATTAATACTTTTACTAAGGTAAGTTATATCTAGGCAACTAGAAGCTTTAAAAGCTAAGAGAATATAAGCTAATCAAGTTTATAAGATTAATATATAATAATTTTTAACACGATGCGTACTTGTGGATAGACTCACTGTGTATCATCCAGGATGACCCAGAAGACTGGCGACGAGAAGCTGCCCGAATGGGCCAGGTTTTTAGCAACGCCTACTGCACAATCGCAGCGACATCAGCAGCGACTTCTAACGAGGGCTTTCTCACTCCACTCAGCTCGACACTATCTGCGACCTTAGAGACGCCTAGAGGTGGTCTGCTTCACATTTCAGAGTTTATGGAAGATTGCAACAGAGCTTTAGAAGCAGCGCCCCTGAATACCCGTGGGTGGGTGATGCAAGAGCGGGCTTTGTCGAGAAGAACACTACACTTCACCAGGACACAGGTTTACTGGGAATGCGGCAATGGACTTCATTGTGAGCGGCTCTTCAAATTGTCAAAGTAAGTACTCATTATTGCTCATCACGACCTCTGTCTGGTCTAACGACTATCCTTGTCAGTCCCCAATCAGCTCTGTTCGCAGACTCGGACTTCCCTAAAGCCATACTCAAGTACTACAAAGGTGGACGAATCACCCTATTTCAAAATATTTACGAGAAGTATTCCAGGCTCAATTTCAGCTACAACTCAGACCGACCAGTGGCCATCCTGGGTCTGGAGAAACGCCTTTCAACTGTCCTCCAGACTCGTGGCGAGTTTGGCGTCTTTGAGCAATACCTAGCGAGAAGCCTTCTCTGGTCCCGACCTGAGAATATCTTTCTCAGCAGTATCACGTTCCAAGATGACCATCATGTTCCTTCTTGGTCATGGATGGCATACGAGGGCCCAATCATCTATGCGAATATACCCTTTGACAAGGTCGAATGGAGCACAGACTGCTTGCTTCAATATGGGGAGGAAACCGGTACAGACAGGATGAGGACTGTGTTGAAAGCAGTTGCTAGAGATCTCGAATTGGATAAGTCGGATATGCATGATAGAGTCAAACTTGATGAAGGGTTTGGGTTCGAACCATCCAGCTTGCGGGGGATTGTCCTTGGTAAAGACAAAAAGCGAGGATCTCGGGTTCGAGTACACTACGTTCTCCTCGTTACCTTATCCAAAGACGAACCAGAGCAGGCAAAGGTTTATGTGCGGGTAGGAGTGGCCTGGCTTCTTGAACATAACATCGCAATGGATGGTGAAGATGTTGTGATTTACTAACTATCGCTTCTCTAAATTATGATTCAAATTGTCCATTGAATAATCTTCATTTCGTTGCCGATTGTTATGATTCTATATATTCGTGATGATGATGATGACTAGTTGATGAGGTCCAATCTTCCGTCCCCGGACTGCGATAAATGATAGTATGAAGGGTTGATGGGCTCATTCGTGCGAGGAGCTTTTTTGAAGGCTATGGGAAGATGCTTGGCGCGGAACAATACATGTTGTTAGATCCCACGTCTAAACGAGTCCCGGTCCCAACGTATAGTGTATATATCTTGCTGCATTTCGACAGAGAACTTATTTCGGGGGAGGCTTCGTTCGAGAATAGTAAGAAGCTTTTGTGGGCTAACGTCCTTTGCATTGATGCGGATGGTATCGTATGATGAGCTAGCCATGGCACGCCCATTCGTTTGTTGTTGCATCTGCCCGGGCATTTTGAATAGGACAAGAAATATTGATTGAGTCGGACGTCAACGGATAGACGAAAACATGCTTGAAATGGAAGTCGGAGAAGAAACACGGAAGTGGCTGGTTTAAAAAGACTCGATCACAGACGCGATATGACTCAGAAATGACAAATTGGAAAAAAGGCAGACAAGGCAACCTCAGAAGTGGGGGCTGTGCCTAGAGGCCTCTGTAGGTGGCCTCCATCTGACACACCTTGGAAAAGCAGGTTCTGAACTGAGCAATCAAGTCAAGTTAAGGCAGCCACTGGATAGCTTCTGCCTGGAATTTTCAACCCTCTCTGCAGGTCTTCTAACATCAGGCTAGAGGACGGTGCCAGAAGCACGCATTGGTCTGCAGAACGCTGATTCGCGATGCTGATAACAATGAGGTGGCAACACGAGCCGCTCTAGGCCAAGCATGCTAACCGCTGAGGCATCATCCTGGCCAATGTCCGTCATGGGTAGCAAGAAGCCTTGTTCGAACTCCCATAGGGTTCATTGGCTGGCCATCTGCAAAGCCCAAATGTCTCGACCAGGGGTCTCAGCCGCAGTTCAGGGAGGGCTTTATATTTCTCAATTGCGTACTAAGAGGCATCAGGCTCGGCTCAATTGAATGGAAATCTCAGCCTTCAGGTATTATAAGCAACAAAATGCATTCCCTAGCGTCTCCTCATCCGAAATCTACCTTAATCTTATTAGAAGCCTATCCTTGCTAGCATGGACCATGGTGAACCCTTCCAAACCACGTTCAAGAGTGAGGGGAACAAGGAAGACCACTTCATATATTACATCACGGAAAAGCCGCAACGCATCTCGAAGCCAACAGTCACCAAACTCACCAACGGCGTCTCATCATGACCCTCCAGGTATACCGAATTGGGGAGAAGCACCGTCCCGATCCGACATCCACTTGAAACCTGGGATAGGGCAAGGTTCTATCCATATTTCGGTGTTATCTCAAAGGGAAAGCACATCGACATTTCGAAGTATCTCAGACATGGGTCATCGCAAATGGCTTGAGTCATTAGCCGCTTATCGAATTTCTGCGACTGGAGATGTCCTGGATTCGGAGCCTCCAATTGTTGACGTCGACATGTCTTCTGTCTGGGAAGCCTTGATGAATGCGTGCAGGAAACCCGCCATTGATAATACAGGTAAGCAGGCGTTTATACCTCTGGGACAGCTCCTTCAGATTCTAAGCCCAAGGAATGTTGAAAGAATACTCAATCAAAAGTTCACGGGTGAAGATTTGATAAGCCTTGTCAACGAGGTATATGGAGCAGATGGCGAACCAAGGAGACTGAAGATCATGGCTACATTGATTTTGTTGAATGGACTTAGTTTTCTACTTGACTTTGTCAGAGCAAAGGTAGAAGATAGTCAACTACCACTTACTATTCAGCGACAGGGACAACAGCCTATCTTATACGACCGTGAGAAGAATGAGATAGAGTCTTCAAGGAATTGGGCTTGGTCTTATCCCGACGCGGAATACTTTACTATGAAGCAGATGCAGCTATGCAGCCTATTCTGCACTATCGATGAAGAAGAGCAATTCATGGATCATTTTCGACTCCCTGCCGATTTCGTCATACCATTTGTGGATTCTGAACCCCCTGTAGTTCGGACCGGAGGGTATGGCAAAGTCACAAAGGTTTTTATCGAGCCATCACACTCATGGTACCGGGTTAGGTACCCAAAGCCAGAGTGTTTCGCTATCAAGGCTGTTCAGCACAGCTCTATAGACCACCCGAGTGAAGCAGACTCTCTCGCACGGCGGCTTGTCATTAAGAAGCTCGCAGACAGAGAACACCTTCATCAGCTTCTTTTCTCTTTTCGTCGGGCCGACTATTACTACCTTGTTTTTGAATGGGCTGATGGCGATCTGACTGATCATTGGGGAAAAATGCCAACCTTGTACAGCCCTGATGTCTATGAAGACGCGCTTTGGTTCTTTCGCCAATGCCTCGGTATTGTGAGGAGCTTGGGTAGCATACACAAACAGCGCTCGTCTTACACAGCCAGCACTTTGGAGGAGGTAGTTCACGTCGAGCTGGCAGGAAACTACGGACGGCACAGCGACATAAAGCCGCAAAATCTGCTTTGGTTTAGTGATTACCAGGGCGACAAGAAAGATCACTTGGTCATCACTGATCTTGGTCTTACCCAGTTCAACACGTCGCAGTCCAAGTCCCATGCGTCATGGGCTGGTATCAAGGGTTATACACAAACCTACAAAGCACCCGAGAGTGAAGTTAATGAAGTGGTTAGAAGCAGATACGACATCCGGTCTCTTGGTTGTGTGTTTCTAGAACATGCGTCTGTGTTTCTGATGAGGGACGGCAGATGTGTCGACGCTTTCTCAAAGAGCAGACTAGAGGAGGATCATCGTCGGAACAGAAATGGAAATTATCATGGGGATACTTTTTACAACGTGATCACTGAAGGGTATTCTACAGACGAGTACACACCGGTTGGAAGCAGTGTCAAACGGGGGGAGGTTAAAGAGGCAGTTCTGAAAGTAAGAAGCACATCATTCAATCCTACAGCTTGAGCTGATAACTCATCGTCATAGATGATTCGAGATCTAAAAGACCATCACTTATGTGCTCCTTCGATGCGTGGCTTCTTAGATCTCATAAGAAAAGGGATGCTAGTACCAGATCAGTCCGTTCGATATACTGCAGGGAAGGTCTTGAGAGCTCTCAGAGGGATTCAGGTCCGTTGTGGACAGGATCTCAGGTACGCTTGCTTGTCAAGACACTTGCCATTAGGGGATCAGTTGAATTCTATGCCCGATAGCTACATTCCTTCAAGACAGTCTCAGATCTTGGCAGGCATCTCAGGAGGGCAAGAGGACAGCAGGGCCAGAGATAACCCGTCTCTCACAGAGTCAACCGGAGATGCCGGGGCTGCTGATCCAGAAGCGTTTAAGATGCTTCATGAGCTGCGTCACATGAGCAACGACATCACTTTGTCCCCGGTTGATCTACAACTCCAGATACCACAGATTCAGTTCGATGGGTCTGTAGCAGGGCTTTTGCAGGAATATAGCGCTATCAACGATTTAATCGATGGATTTAAGTCCCTTTCCATCAAGGAAAAGACTCGACTGTTGGTGTACATCTTGGTGTTTGTACTGTTAGACCTTGGAAAGTATAACTTGAATAGACTTGATACCAATTTACTTTAGAGGTATGAATCGAAAATACAAATGATCCTTTCGAATTCACTAGGGTTAAGGTTCTCGGAGGCCCCGATGATTAACGGCGGTGGTTTCGGTCAAAGAGCGGAATTTTGTGATGCAGCTGAAATAGATCCTAACCAGGTTGAGGAACATCCGATGACATTTACATTAGGTTCCCCTACTTGTAGTTAGCTTTCTGAACTGTGCCAGCTGACTTCCCTAGTTGGAACCCGAAGGTACTGAATATAGCTAGAGAACCAATAATGCAGGGGTCTTTGCATCAATAGCGCACTTTCCAGCTGGCGCAGATATGGCACATTGCCCATGTCGATGCTTGGCACCTAATCAGAACACAAAAGGTATAAGAAGCTTCCTGAAACATGCTGAAGTATTCAAATCACTCTTATCTTTTACTTTTTGTCGCTTCCTCTTAATCATTCCAAACTGTCACCATGAGTCTGAATCTACACGACCCCAGGATATGGATGAAAGCCCTCCCGGGCGACATGAGTGTCACTCAAATCTCAATACCAGGCACTCATAATAGCCATGCTATTGAATCCAATGTTGTGGTAGCGTCAAACGGCAACGTGAACTTTGCCGCCCATACATTATACAATCCTGGGATTGTTTCAATGTATGCTAAAGTTTATACTACAATAGCAACATGCCAAAGTTTTTCCATGTGGGATCAACTTCATTTTGGCGTCCGTTGCTTTGATCTGCGGGTGCGCTCGTGGGAAAAGTTTGACAACGAAGGAGGTCGCTGGGCGTTTGGTCTTTGCCATGGAAGTGCTAAGCTCAAGGAGAGTCTGACACAAGTTCTTGACGGGATGGCAGATTTCCTAAAGAAGTATCCGAGCGAAACCCTGCTGATTTCTATCAAATGGGATGAGGAAAATTTGGACGGCTCGAAATCTGTTCCGACTACACCAGATTGGAACCTCCGCTTCGGCGTATCCGAGATTTGGGATAAACACAAATGGTTCAAAGGAACACATTGGCCTAAGCTTCACGAAGTAAGAGGTCGAGCCATTCTACTACGTCGATTTTGGAATCCTGACAATGAGTCTCTGGGCATCAACTTCGACAAGCCAAGTTTCTTCGATAACGCCCGCAGCGATGGGCCTCAAGGCAAATGGAAGCAAACGACAGACATAAAACAAGGACCGATGACCATCGAGGACCGTTGGAAATGTGCTCAAGTTATGCTCAACGAAGCCAAGGAAGCTGACTTCAACGACGACGTTATGTATTTTGCGTCGACATGCGATGTCTGGTTGGAATTTGGTGCTAAGACGCCAATGTTTTGGGATCCGAGCTACTATGCAAAACATCTATATCAACCCCTTGTCTCATTCCTGACTGGAGAGTATGGGTCGCAGAAGAAGGGTAGATATGGGGTAGTTGTTACTGACTTCTGCAATCAGGCCATTTCCCGACTCATATATGAGCAAAACTTTAGCCGTTGATTCGGATGTTCATTGAGCAAGATAGCGCCTCATAGTGGCCGAATACATGGCACATTTGTTCTTGAGGCCTGTGGCCGATAGCTTATAATCACAGCACACAACTTGACTCCAATCAATATCCATAGTCTAATATGATTCTATTGCCTTTCGATGTCTATATCTTTCGATTCCATTCTACTTATCACTTCTAAGCCTTATTCGTGGTTTCAGACCTCACCGCGCTTATCACTGACGTCCTCAAGGTTCTCGGATTGGCTCACTTCACCCTTGACATCAGATCTGAACTGTTGCTCTTCCTGCTTTAGTTGCTCTTTGAGGATCTTGTCTGCCTTCCAGATTGGCTTGATCTTGAAGAGTCTGTAAACCTGCTCCAACGGAATTCCACTAGTCTCGGGAATGAGGAAGAAGGCGAAGATGAAGGCGAAGAATGACAGAGTCGCAAAGAACATGTAAACACCGTACCCCATTGCAGCAAACATCTGCTCTGTGAATCGCGAGACAAGGAAGTTGAACAGCCAGTTACTGGCGGTTGTGCAGGCTTGTGCAAGGGATCGGAAACTGGGGTCGAAGAATTCCTGGAAACTGGTTAGACAATGGAACAATAGTTTGGAATGCAAGACTTACAGAGTTGATGACCCAGGGCGTACCATTCCATGTGGGAGTGTACACTGCGGTCCAGAGGTAGAAGAATACGATAGCGGCGATACCACTGCCAGTCAAATGATCCTGGGGGTTCTTGGTAGGGTCGACGACGTAGATGTATGCACCCAATACCCACATACAGATAGAGCCAGTGATACCACCAATGAGCAGGAGCTTTCTTCGACCAAGTTGATCAACAAGGAAGAGAAGCCAGACAAAGGTCATCACGGCCTTGACGACGCCAAAGACGCCTGTCATTACGTTGACAGTATCATGCTGAACTCCAATACTCTGTGAAAGATTAGAATACTTCTAGTACAAAACGTGGCCAAGGTTGTAAACTTACGGAGAACACGGTTGGGGAGTAGTAGTTGATTGCGTTGATTCCAGAGCCGTTCTGCCAGAAGAACAGCATACATCCCAAGAAGAGACGCCACATCATATTTGGCCGATCCTTGAGAGCCTGGAAAGGCTTCCAAAGTCCAATACCAACAGTCGACTTCTGGATCTCGTGGGCATGATCAATGGCTGATACCTCTTCGGTGATATAGAGATCGGTGGGTGGGAGCTGTCGAATCCAGCAAAGGTTCTCCATAGCCTGTGTTCTTCGTTCCTTCAGGAACAGCCACCGAGGAGATTCGCGGATCCAGAGGCTTCCAAGGAAGAGAAGACCCGACGGGATGATCTGGACGGCGAACGGGACGATCCATTGTTGGTGGCTTTCGGGCATGTGCTTCTGGACACCATACTACCCAAAGGTTAGCGAGCGTGAAATATGTAAAGGGATGGATCCTTGACTCACGTTGATCCAGAACCCAACAAGGCCACCAATCTGCCAGCCAAGCTCGTACAGACCGACTAGGCGACCTCGGATAGCAGGAGGCGCCAGCTCTGAAATATAGATGGGGATGATGTTGCTTGCAAAACCAGTTCCAAGACCTGACAGAACACGGCCTGCGTATAGAATTCCCAAGCCAGTGCTAGAGTCGGCACCGCATTGGAGACCAGCCCCGAGCGTGAAGGTAGCAGAAGCGATGGCAAGACACCATTTGCGGCCAACCCAGTGGCTGAGAATGTAAGTGAGGAGCGCACCAAAGAAGGCACCAGCGATGAAGAGCGATACAATGTTCTCGCTAATCAAGTTTCGCTCCTCCACAGTCTTGGTATCTATCCCAAACTCCTTCTTGAACGAATCAAGCGTGATAGTCGTTCCAATAAAGGCACTTGTATAACCGATCATGTTAGAACCGCACGACGCAACAACGGCAAGCACATAAATGCGCCAGTTGTACACCGACGGCGGCGTCGGCCTATCTTCAGCAAGAGTGAGGATACCCATGGTTACAGGGTCAGTATTCGAGCAGAGGAGCTGTCGAGATAACAAACCGACTCCAGATCAAGAGCTTTATAAGAATCAGTGGGATCCGGGGCCCCGACTTTGAAGTGGTGAGTCTTTGTTCTTCCCCATCTTGACAAAGTTTTCTTCTCCATGCGCTACGTTACAAAGATGTCCACATTGCTCTGGGGCGCTGGAGTCGATGGAGCAAATGAGTCGGGCCGGACGAGCGTTTTCCCCGTACGGGGCAACGAGGTGAGATTGTCGTCGGTGTGCTTCCGCTATCTGATCAATTCAGTCACGCAATTTCGATTGCGCTTAATGAGCTTAAATGATTGGTAAAATCGGCAAATTGAGTCGTCAAAGTATCTGTCCCTGACTCGTGTTGACGCCTCGTACGGAAGGGCGGCTTAACGGCTCTTGGCTTCCAAGCCATTTGAGCCTCATGTTGAGCCTCAACATCCACTATCATCGCCAAGGGCAAGCCATTTATCGCTGTAGAACCAGTAAAGTCCTCTGGAAAAAGCCTAGAAAGGGACCTTGACCTCACGTAACCCCCACTATCCCCGTACAATACCCAGACCCCGGACCATCCGGAGATCAGCGCGGAGAAAAAATCTCCAGGCGTGTCTGAATCTCCGGCAAAACCTTTAACCCACAAGGTATGAGTCTTTTCTTCGCCAGAGGGATAAAAGCTTCGATGGGCCACGTCAAAGCTCGAGGGTGACACCAAAATCGGGTACCGGCACGTCTAGCTGATCAATTACAACGTTATCAATGGCATCTGAGAGGACCCTTGACGTCAGTTGCGTTGGCGGAGTTATGCGTGACCGTGCATGGACTAATAAACCCGAGGAGACGAGTTTATCAGTAGAGAAAGGATCCAAATGCCGAAGGAAATCTCAAAACGCATGGGTGAGCACGATCGATATCCACTAAAAGATCCAATGAAATGACCGCCTTCATCGGAAGCATCTTGGAAATGTTTGCTGTGAGACGCGTGTGCGCCAAACCAGAAAACGAACAGGCAATACTTTCAGAAATATACTGGTTAGGCAGTTTTCTTTTTTTTCTTTTTTTTGGGGGGGGGGGGGGGGGAGTAATGAGAGCTCAGAACTTTCCTTCAAATTGACACCTTTTTATCTCTTGGTCGATGTAGGCGTTTTGGGATTGCCAAACAACAGAGCTTAGGGTTACGCATAAGAGTCCACCTTCATCATCTATCATACCAAACAACAAATTATACTATGTGCTCGACCAATACTACACTAAAGAGGCAAGAACTATAACAAAATGAAGGCAACTTGAATAAAATAGTAACCTCTTCGACTTTCCCTCCATTCACGCTGCAGTCTTATCTAAATGATCAAGGAATCTACCCTGTAACGAGGAGATGGAGGGCGAGGCCTGGTGAATATCCACGCGTAAAGTACGCGATTAGGCAGTTCCTGAATTGTTAGGGCATTGTCAGCTCAACCAACAACTTTTGCAAACAACTCATGACTCCAACAATCCCAGTCACCATGGATCACAAACACCCTTTTAGAGTCGAGGTCGAAGTCACAACTTTGGGTAGAATATATTTGGCTGCTGGAATTTTCAGCAGTTTGTGTCATTGGTTTGCCGTCACGCAAGCCGCTCGCAATGTTGACCTCAACATGATACTCAACTTCAGTCGGCCGCCTATACTCGATCAATCACTCCATATAGCAGCAGCACAATATGTTGGAATATTTGTGTACTTCCTAGCATCATATGTGTGGACCGTTCAAGCTGTCTGGGATTTGAACAGAGTCGGCCGAGCCAACATGAATCTGTTCAATGTGTCACTCTGTATCTTGCTGGCGTTTGTGAGTCTTGGGCCCGGTGCTGGCGTTGCTGGTGTCTGGTACATACAAGAGCATGCAATGTCATGGACAAGCTTTCAGCGCAAACAAGGCGTCAAAAATCCTCAGTCTCATGATGGCGGCGCAGTCAAGAGTGTGGCGTCTGCAACAACTACTGGTTGAGGCCAACGATATCTGATAAGATAAAGATGATCGATAAGATAATCTCTTATCGCACGTGCTCGCATTCTGATAAGGCTGTCTCTGATCGAACGAAGATAATGATAAAATCTCAGCCGATATCTCCGTTCGCTAAATGACGATGATGAGCTCATTATCACAATAAATTCGACTTCCCTTATTCACAAAAAATGGATGAGTACGCGCGTCAGTCCAGTGCTATGCCGGCGCGGCCTGGATCTCGCAAACGCGTCGCGCCGGTAATCTCCGTACTCACCCTATGCCTCTTTGTCAACCTGTCGATGAGCCTCTATCAACTCCCCTCAAATCGATTGATTGAAAGACGCCTTTGCGTGGACTACTACCGTCAAAACGATCCATCGCGGATACAGCCTGGTGGTAGCGTCGACGAGAAGCTATGTAAGATTCGCGAGATAGAAAAAGACCTAGGTCGGATTCAGGGCGTGATGGAGACACTCTGGGTCGCCGGAGGTAAGTCATTCATGTACTCTATAGCACGTAACCTGCTAACGCGACAAAAGACTTCGTCATGACTATACCCCTCAGCTTTCTGGCCGAGAAATGGGGCCGTCGGGTAATCCTCAGACTCAATCTCCTCTCGCGTTCTTTTATGTTGCTATGGGCTATTATGGTCGAATCTTTCGATATCCTACTCCCAACCAAGGCCATCGTGGTCGGCCCGATGCTCTCTGTCCTTGGTGGAGATTGCGTCTTCAACTCTCTTACCTACGGCCTTATCTCGAATTTAACGGACGACCATGTTCAACGAGCCATTTACTTCGGATATATGAGCTCAGTGTCTTATGTCGTGGCCTTACTTGGGCCTGCACTAGCTTCATCTACCATGACCTTATCGCTATGGCTACCGTTCTGGCTCGGTATATTCTTGCTCTCATTGGCTATCCCCACCATACAAATGTTACCTACACATGGAGACACGGATAAAGGAACCGATGATGATGATGAGAGCCAACATGAGCCTCTCCTCTCATCACCACGTATCAAAGCCCAATCCCATCGAGAGCCACTACTCCAGTCTGTGATGAACCGTCTTCAGACGATCAAGACTATAATTGCTAGCCATCCAAAGAACTTTAGCTTGTTGCTATTCAGCTTCATGCTCACATCCCTCGCGAGCTCAGACACAAAGCTTCTCGTTCAGTATATATCTGCACGTTACAAGTGGACATTTGCTTCCGCTGGGTATCTCTTATCTGGCAAAGCAATCGTCAACTTTACGTTACTTACCATCGTAATTCCAAAGATTCTACGGTCGGTCCATCAGATCCGGCACGAAGACGCATCAGAGGTAGCGGATAAGTCAAATATCCGGAACGCTCTGTACTGCCTTGTTGCATCCGTATTTGGCGCATTGGGGATTGCCATCGCGAGTGAGATATGGATGCTAATACCCTCCATGTTTATCTACGCTCTTGGTTCTGCCCTTCCTATCTTTACTCTATCACTTCTTAAATCTCCTGTCATATCGCCGCCCCATTCTTCTGACTCGTCCGATCCCGAACCTCACATCTTCTCTATTGTCATGTTGTTAAAGACTGTTGGTTCGCTTTTAGGGGCGCCTTTGATGGCAGCGCTCTGGGTCCGCGGTCTTGGGATCGGCGGCATGGCTCTCGGTATGCCGTTCTTCGTCAGCCAGGCATGTTACGCTGTGGCCATTTGGGTTTTCGTAAACATAGAGGTAGACCGTGATGTGCTGGCTGCTGCCGAGCGGAGGAGACGCAACCGGGACTAGAGCTCAGGGAATGCCAGGCGTCAATTCACTGACAAACCAGGCACGCTTGTGATCTTCTGCTACTGTCGAATTGCTTTGGCAACTCAAGATAAATGGCTGGGCTAGGCCGGCATGGTGGTATGAGAAACAGCCATGGTTCCATTTCACAACATTCAGGTACATGAATTGTTGCCTCAGGTTATTTCTGGATGAAAGAGCTTATCAAGTTGCAAGGTTCAGGATGTTTCTGGAGTTGATATTCGCGTCCCTGGACTTCCTGAGACATGCAGTCACCCACCAATATCACCGCAGCCGCCCTCAAAAATAATGACCAGCACCAGGATCTTGCCTGAAATACTACGTAGATCAGTCTAATGTCCGGAAATAGATGGGTACACGAAGCAGAATGTTGTAGAATCCGCGTATAGAAGTGGCTGCCATACAAGTGGGATTCAACGCCGCGCTCAATTCTAAATTTCTATCTGCCAGCAAAACAACTTGTACATCAACCAAAGGTGCTGGAATTCAATGATCTTAAAATAGACTCAAAAGAAGCTTTTTACTGCAATTATAAGCATAATAACCCTCGCCAAATATGGTTCGGCGAAGAACGCCAGACGCAAGATCGCGCGGTTAAGCTTAACCCTAGTCAGGGGGTCGCGTTTCAGCATCGGGGATTTCTTCAGAAACTGGTCAGTGATCGACGCCACGTCTCATTTGTTTGCAAGGGTCCTTCACAAAACATTCCCCTCTGATAGGCGGCAATATTCGTGTTTGAAACGAGCCGCATGGGCTGTATCAATTAAGAATTTTGCCATGTCCAACGGTGGGTTGTTTCAGTCAAAATGATCCACCTATCTTCAGAATGACAAGGCGATTTCGGGAATGTGGGCAACCTGATGAGCGAGAACTTGGCTTCTGGGGCTATCGGGGGTGTATGTCACTGAATCAACGAATGGTCCGCGGCAAGTGACAAAGCTATAAGTTTCCAAGACATCTCCTCCACTGAAATCTCTTTTCGTTCTGTGTCTCATCATCACTTTCTTTGCATTTTATTTCACTCTTTCGACAAGCTGTGCTTGGTCATTCTTTATTTGTCTTAACCATTCCTAAAGTATTTACTGGTTTGATACCATTTTCTGTCTTTTCACTCATCTCTCGTCACATACCAAGCAATCTTTCCTACAAACATCAAGATGCAGTACCGTGTGATCATGGCGGCTACTCTGGCCATTGGCGCCTACGCCGCTCCCGCTCCCCTCATCACTGGCGCTCCATCTCTCTCTCGTCGTCAGGATAGTGAGGGTGGCTCCGGCGGAAGCAGTGTTCTTGATGCTCCCATGACCATCGCTGCCGGCGAGTCATTCGATGGTGGCAATGCCATCTTTGACCGTGGTGTTTCTTGCACTGGTCAGGTGGAGGGCGGCGACTCTGATGCCGTCTTCATCCTCGAGAAGGGCGCCACGCTTTCTAATGTCCGTATTGGTAAGTTCAACCAGTCACTCTTACTCCGAGCCAGTCCTAACTGTTAAAGGTCCCAACCAGATCGAGGGCGTTCACTGCAACGGTGGCTGCACTCTCAACAATGTTGTCTGGGACGCCGTCTGCGAGGATGCTTTCTCCATCAAGAAGCAGGAAGATGGTGAGACCACTACCATCAACGGTGGCGGCGCTACCGGCGCCGAGGACAAGGTCATTCAGCATAACGGTGGAGGTACCGTCATCATCAAGGACTTCGAGGTCTCTGACTTTGGCAAGCTCTACCGCAGCTGCGGCAACTGCAAGGAGATGCCTGCTCGTCACGTCGAGATCTCTGGTGGCTCTGCCAGCGACGGAAAGATACTGGTCGGCATCAACCCTAACATGGGTGACACCGCCAAGATTTCCGGCATCCAGCTCACCAACGTTCCCAAAGAGTGCATTACTTTCGAGGGTGTCACTGATGGCAGTGAGCCCAAAGAGGTTGGCACTTGCGACGGCTCCGGTTCTGACTCTGGTTCCGACTCCGGCTCCGGCTCCGGCTCTGGAGACTCTACTGAGACCCCCGCTACCCCTACCACTCCTGCTGATGGCTCTGAAGCCCCTGCCGCATCTGAGGTTGCTGACCCTGTTGAGACCTCGGCTGATGGTTCTCAGGGTGATGACCAATCTGGTGACGACCAGTCCGGCGACAACGATGATTCTAGCAACGATGATTCTGATGATGACAAGAAGGACGACAACTCTGACGATGAGAACAAGGATGAAGAGTCCGACAACGAGAACCAGGACCAAGAGTCTGAGTCCGATAACCAGCAAGCCCAGCCTTCTCAACCCAACTTCAACTTTGGAAGCGGTGGCTTCGGTGGCTTCTGAGCGAGTCTTATGATTGGGTTGAAAACACCGTACAATCTACCCAAACACATCGGGTGTACTTGAAAACATCAGTTACAGTTAGAAACTTGTGTTCTTGTATCTATATAGTTAATACTCATGGGGTTAAGACAATTATTGAGGCGCTACCATTACTTTACTCTTCTATGCGACATCATGTTCTTGGTCACTGACGCTCATCAACGCGGTTCCTGACTTATCTATCACGATCAACCGCATACTCAAGAACATTTACTCGGTAAAACAGAGACACTCAACAGTGCAGCAATGTCAGAACCTAAATCAGCATAAACTATTCCAAACACAGTAGTCGCCGGAAACACGGCGCCAAGCAAGAAGCACGTAAGAACTAACCTCATTCGTAGCGAAGACAGGATGAGAATGCGCAGTTCGTATCCGATAACTATGCGAGACTTGCATGACTGCCAAAAACGTAACAGCGTTGTGAGTCAAGCGGCAGTCCAGACCTGAGGCTGAGCTTAGAACTAGAATAACTCTTTTAGAGCGGTCATGTCTTGTTGACTGCCAATAGGTCAACACCGATCACCGTATCGCTCCCGAAGGGCATGTTCTACTCTGTACAAGCGCCCTTGATCTTCTCTTTGATGGTATGTTATTTCCTTGGCGTTAGGTCTTTGGTGATGTATTCGTCAACCCTCTCTATCCATTCCTGGGCATATTAAGCATGCTCACACCCTCTTGATCAAAACTGCCCAAAAATAGACAACATTTCGACCGCAATAGTTTTTCATCATGACTTTGAAGCATTATATGCCCAAATTTGCATCTCTTGGTAAACATGTGACATAAGCAAATCTGGGTCGTAATTTGAATACTCACGATGCTATTGGGTCAACATAGCCTCGAAGGATTCAGTCGTCCAAGCGGCGGGCAATGACCTCGCTCATTTCGCTAGCTCAACTACGCCTTTTGCTTGGCTCACGCTGCCTAGCGCGTACCAATTTTTGTCTGATGATAAAAACCTTCGCGTCAGCCCAACTCCTAAAGTTGCAGTGACCTTATCGATCTTCTCCACACTCGTTTCTTATTTCCGTTGTAACACAATGGGTGTACTCCAGAAGAGTACTGGCTTTGTGCTATTTTTGGCACAGTTTGCGCCTGTCCAGTCTATGAAGCTTGACAGCAAGGATGGCATCTTAGACGCGTCCAAGGGTCTTGCTGGGGATCTCATCAGTTTCTACAAGGGCAATGAGACTGGTCAAACCCCTGGTCTTTTGCCCGAAAGAACTATGGGAACCGATGGGTATTATTGGTACCAGTCGGGTGCTTTCATGGGTTCTTTTGTGGACTATTGGCAATTGACAGGCGACAAGACCTACAACAAGCTCGTTACGGAGGGCATCCAATGGCAGGTTGGCAAGGGAAAAGACTTTATGCCAGCCAACAACACAGTGAGCATTGGTAACGATGACCAGTCCATTTGGGCATTTGCTGCCCTTACAGCCGCCGAATATGGCTATCCCGAACCCTCCGAGGGTCAACCTCAGTGGCTCGACCTTGCTATTGCAGTCTGGGAAGAGCAACGCGCGAGATGGGACACAGAAGTTGAGCAGAAGACCTGCAATGGCGGTCTTCGCTGGCAAATCATGATGACCAATGCTGGTTTCGATTACAAGTCGAGTATGTTGCCTCGTCAGATTCAGTCTGCAAGCCACTAACTTCTATAGCACTTGCAAATGTTCTTTTCTTCAATCTTGGCGCTCGTCTCGCCAGACTCACATCCAACGACACATACGCCGACTATGCCTCAAAGACCTGGGACTGGCTCGAGACTAGTGAGCTCATTGACAAAGAGACCTGGGCAGTCTATGATGGTGCTCAAGCTACAAAGGCTACCAAGAACTGCTCAAACATCAACCAGATCCAGTGGTCTGCCAACTCAGCAGGGTTAACCATGGGTGCTGCATTCATGTACAACTTTGTAAGTATACAACTTGATGAAGCGCTTCATACTGACTGAGATATCTAGACCGAAGGATCAGATGAGTGGAGGAAGCGTACCGAGAACCTCGCATCAGCAACCCTAGAAACATTCTTCAAAAAGAATGGAGATTTCAACGAGATTGCGTGTGAGAATAGCAAAGGCATATGTCCCCGCGACATCGTCATGTACAAGGGCTTCACGCACCGATGGCTTGCAGTGGCCACTCAGGTCGCTCCCTTCACAGCCAGTCCCATACTCCCTGTCCTTCGAAAGTCGGCCGAGGGTCTGAAAGCATATGGAAACGGCGGCGATGCTATGGAACAGACGTTCTCCAATTTTGTCGTTGTTTCCAACCTGTTGATCGATGACTCTTCTGCTCCTGGTCATCAGAATGAGACCAGCAAGACGGATAAGGCGGAAGACTCTCCCTCTTCGACTTCTAGCCCTACATCCAAGTCATCTTCTGTTGAGGCTGAGGGTAACTCTGCAATCAAGCTTGCAGGCTCAGGCAGCTTCCTGGCTTTGTCCGTTCTCATGATGGCTTCACAATGGATCCTGTAGTCACAGCTGGGTATGGTTGGAACTTGACCTGATTATTGCTTGAATGATGCGAGTTAACGTATAGAGATTTATGAGATGAAAAGAACTACAAAATAATTGAAAGAAGTATCCTTATGATGATCGTTGACCCGGTCCAGGCGACATATCCGTAATCCCAACTGAGAATAAGACAACATGACCTACTCGGAGCCAAATCTGGGCCCCGATGTGGACCGACGAGAGCTTCTAGACTTTTGGCCCGCATCGGAGGCTAAGTGGACCTCTTGAAACTTTCCGAAGGTCCGGTGGAATAGAGACCGAAGTCTACCGAAGCTTGGGGTTGATGGTGGATCGTTGCGCGTTGAAGATCATCCTAGCATCGACTTTGCAATCACGGCGACGGGCATTCATGTTTGACAGGTATTCGATTGTTATTATATACAATTACTAGAACTATAACTGCCCAGTAGTCAGATCCAGGTTATGTACAAATTGAGGAAAAGCTTTTACTCTGCTCGGTCAATCGCAGCAGCTTTCCTTCCTAAAATCCAATGATCCCATTCCATAGTTCACTCCAAGATTCATTCTTTCAGAGACTTTAATGCGCTTCTGGTGTATACAAACTTCTGGGAATATTTCTTCTAATTTCATGAAGAGACTGGGTATCCGTGGTGTAGTAATGGTATGTTGGGACTTGGTGGGACGTTTCATATCGTCATTCGGTGGGATCAATCCCGACGCGATGGGTCATGACAGCCATCTGGAAGATGACGATGCCTTAGTCGTGATGTTGTGTGCGCTGTCAAGGCCACTGCTCATCTATTGTCGGCTAGTAGGGATGGAGATGCCAGACCAGCGAGGAGCGGATGAAGGCTCAAAGACGTTGGTGCCCAGAGGAGGGTCACGGCTGGTAGTGGTAGCGGAGAAGCTGGGTGTCTCAGTGACGATGGAGGAAGTCTCGGAAACATAGACACGGTTGCCCCAGAACTTATCCATGATGGGATCATGGACAGCAGAGTCGCGAGTGTTGGAGAGGTTGCGGCTGGGCTCGGTAGTACTCAATCGTCGAACCTGGCTAAGTCCACGGAGAGCACGAGGAGCAGTGCGAACACCGCGGGAGAGAGTCTGGATGGAAGAGCTCATGATGGAAGTGTTGGAGATTAGAGTGAGCGATAGATGGATGTACTGATCAGATAAGAGATGATTTGGAGTACAGAATCTGGGGAATTCGGAGTTCTTTCAATCTACTTATATCCTTCTCGGGCTGGTCCCCGGGCTGAGGGTGCTTCGGCTCGGATGAAGGGAATGCGCCTGGAAAAGGCAATTCCCCGCAACAAAACTCCCCGCACTATCACCGGTTCACTCCGCATTTACCCCAAAGTGGCCTGACTTTTAACCTGGAACCCGATGTCGGTAGTTGTTTGCCAAGGGTGATGGAAGAGTGACATGTCTGTCCATACAATGAGGGTACAGACTTGGGTATAGAAACTTCGAGGGCTTGCTTCTGGATATCTTACATTGTGATTGTCTGCCCACGTCCACCCCAAGTTCATGCGGCGTCAGGCCATCCGATAATGCAACGGTGCCACGCGCGTATCTCTTTGGCCACTGGCAGTGACGCAGGTCGTTGATCGTACTATCGCTTTTGATTTCATGAGCGCTGGTGAACCCCCCATTCATCTAAGTAGATGGGTGAGTGTCGCTTCTCGCGAAAAGGACGAGGCTTTTCTGGGCAACACAGACAGCTGCGCACATGTAGTGATATCAGGTGCTATGCTCGCCGGTTAGCCGAGTCCTTGTTGCTTAAGAAGAGATGGTGGGTGTGATTCTGTGCCGTGCCGCTGAACTTATCCAGCCAATACCCTTGCACGAGGCGTTCGTTGGGCGGCCGATTCGCTACTTACAGAAGATTCATTTCTCTATTTCTCTTGGGTACTGCTGCCATCAATGTCATGCATCCAGAAGCTGCTCTTGGAACGAAGATGTTTGATGATCATCACAGCACTTAGGGAGACAGTCGATAACACGAAATGGTATGATCATACTATATTGGCATGGCTACAAGGGACTACAGAAGATAAAATAAAGCTCTTCAGGCCCCCAAAGCTAAAACAAAGACAAAGAAAATCGAATTCCAGCATAAGAATTTTGCTGAGTACTTGCTCGCAAATAAAGCAATTTTGGTTTGCATCATTACCTTCCAGATCATGGAACCGATACCTTGCGCCTTGGAAACTATCTTTCACCTAGAAAAGCAGAAACGGAAAAGCGACACGAAATCATGAGAAATGCGCAAGTGGCATAGACAAGAGTGTCTCAGCTTCATGTCGATAAATGAAGGTTGTCGCATATGATACTTAAAAACGGAAGTTGATGTCATCAAAGGAGATGATTACATAGCCCACAGTTTTCGGTGGGCGTCGCCAAGGATCGTGTTGGATGTTGTGCATCGTTGTGGATGAAAAAGGTCGCCTTCAAATGTGTCTCGAGAGTTCCA